TCTTATAGTTTCCCCGTTCCCGCGCTTTACCCCGTTGCTTAGTTACAGATTAACCGCAGTAATCCCCCCTCACCCAAATGGCAGATTCAGTCCGGTGCTTTTGTCTTTCTGATTGCACCCACATGTCTATGGGTTGTGCTGTTGTTGCCTTTGTTGGGTTTTCCTGTTTGCGCGTAAAGCCGGGAGTTCTCAATCGCTCGTTGATTGCTTCACTTCAGAGTCTCTGCGCTTTCCTTTGTCTACAGTGCTTGAGGGAAGCTGGCGCTGATACAAAGTACCCGCTTGTGGTTTGAGTTAAGCGCCTCGCTGCTAGCGCCTGGGATGGTGAAATTGACTAGGCGAAGCTGAGCAGCAGCGTTCGCCTTGCCATGCCGTGCCGGCTGAATCCAACATACCGCCTCCCTGAAAAGAGATCCCCCCTCTCTAATTGGGCTTACCGGGGTACTGCCCCCCATCTGCCATAACTGTGTGGGCTTTCCTAGGGCTTTGGGGCTCTAGCCTTACCATGACCGGGTCAATTACTGGCCGGAAGGGTCCCCGAGGATTCTTCTTCTCTCCCCTCGCCGTCGCACATGTTGGGCAGCTAGCCACATGTTCCCTCATATCCTTCCTGAGGGATGGCCACCAGAACTGCCCACGCAGGAGGTGGGCGGTCCTGACAAATCCACAATGTCCCACAATTCCGCCGGTGTGCCCTCTCTCCAGCACTTCCGTACAGCAACCCTCCGGCACATAGAGTTTCCCATTGCGCCACCACAGGCCCCCTTGTCCCTTCAATGATTCTTTATTTCTTGCCAACCAGGAGTCTTTCTTGCCTGCTTTCCCGCAGGCTCGCATCAGCTCCGGCTCTGCTTCCTCCCGCTGCTTCTCCGCCTGGACTTGGGTCAAGCCTCTCACCACCAGCTGGGTCCCAGGGATAGTCAAATTAGGTGACAGCTCCCGCAGGGTCCTAAACACCTCCAGATGCTCCTGGCCGCGGTAGGGTCCCGATCTACTGCTGGCTTCTCCACCCTCGCCTGGTGTGGACTGCTCGGCTTCCACCACCGTCGACTCTGCCGCAGTTACTGCCAGTGCTCTCAGCGCCAATGCTACCGTCGCCTGCTTTGCCGCTGGGCTCTCTGGTCCTGGCGCCGCCATCTCCGCTGCTGCCATCCCCTCTCGCTTTCCAGTCGCCCTTAGCACCGTGCTTGTCCTCACCTTACGTGCCATTGGTTGCCTGGGTCCCGCTGCCACTACTCCAGTTGCCGCCGCAGCTTTCCATCCCTTGGCTCCCCCTCCTGTGGCCGGTACCTCGAGCTTCACTGGGTCCTCTGCCATCGCGTCTCCTCCGTGGCCCGACCCGGTCTGCCTGGTGGTGCCACCGAACCGCAGGGTCTTGGACGCCCAGTCGACATGCAGGTTCTGGTGCTTTAGCCATGCCAGGCCCAGCACCAGTGCATGGTCGGCCACTGGGGTAACTACAAACCGTAGCTCCTCTCGGTGGGCCCCAATTGTCATGCTAACCGGCTCAGTGCAATACTGCACCAGCCCCCCCCCACCATCGATCCGTCCAACTTGCTGAATGCGATGGGCTCCCTGAGTCTCCTCACTTGGAGCCCCAGCGCGGATGCCAGCACCAGGGGGATAAGGCAGCGGGTACATCCTGAGTCCAGCAGGGCCTCAATGTTCACCTCTGCTCCTGATCTCACCCCCTTGAGGTGGACCCTGACCCGCATGGGTGAGCAGTCCCTGTTTCCTAGCGGGTCCTCATACTGCGGCTCCGTTGGCTGCTCCGGGGTGCGCCTCAGCGTAGACCCCCATCGTCTTCTGCTGGCTCGCTCTCCCCCCCTCGCGGAGCTGGACTTCAAAACGAGCCAGCCAGCTCCACCGCATGCCGCTCTGCGAGCTGCTGCCTCCTTCCGGGGTCAGTTGGGGGTTCTGGTAGCTGGAGGTTGCTGGGCCCCATCCTCTGGGCAGTGCGTCAGGGCACCCCGCCCCGAGGGGCACTGCACCACCTGGTACCCCTTCCCTCCGCAACGGTAGCAAGCACCCACCGTCTGCTGGGCCTCTCCGTCATTGAGCCTCCGCCGTTGGCTCCTGCACCTTGCCTCTAGGACCGCCTCGTCACGGTCGGGTGTGGTTGGTACCTGGGCTCAGGTCCCTCGTTTAACCCGGTCCCAGGCAGCTTCCACCATCCCTGTCAGCCAGGTCCACTCCGCTAGAGTCTCCAGGTTGTCCCTGCCGGTGCTCTCTCTGGGATCTCCGGGTGGAGCCCATCCTGTGTGAGTAAGCAGGGTAGTTACTCAGGATCCCCCCGAGAACTTGCTCCTCGAGCTCCTGAACCAGAGTGCCTCTGCTGCCCGCTGGTCCTCCATCGGGCCTCCTGCAGGGCTGGCTGCCGCCGCCAGCCTGGACATGGGCCCCGCGCTGGCCCCTGCTTCTGCGCCGCCCTCTGTGGCCGCCCCAGATGGGGCTCCAGGTCCGCGAAGCCATGCCTGCAGCATGCCCTGTATGGCTGTCAGCTGCTGCTGGAAGTTGCTCTCTATCCGGTTCAGCCTCTCTTCCAGCTCTATGCTCCTGGACCCCGCGCCGTGGCTCCCTATGACTCCATGTCTCCTCAACCCTTTGGGGCCTGTCCCGACGCCGAACACTCGGGACTGGCCTCACTGTTGCAACCTCTGGTCCGGGCTCCTCACCACTCCGCGCTCGTGCCCTCACCACTGCTGGCCATCTCCTGGCGAAGTCAATCAGATCCTCTCGCGGTCTGGCTACGGGAAAAAGGTGAGCGCTCCTCGGTGTGTACCGGGTAGTGCTCCTGGGTGAACTCTGGCTTTATGTAAGGTTTACCCTGTTCGACTCAGAAAAACTCTTGTGACACGTGGGTTCAGCAAAGAAGTTTACTCAAGTGTAACATAAGTAGGTACAGACAAAGCCAGGGTTGGCTTGGCATAGCTTACATGGTATTTTATAGTTTCCC